ATCCAACTGCTTGCCATCTTCTAGACAAGAGACATTTTTTATCCATTTGGTGTTCACTGTATGTATAGTTAAGATAATTTCTTTTAAAATAATCATAGATCTTATTGAGGAAGTCCTCTAATGTTCTGGGGCTTGATGCCATCAGCACAATATCATCCCCAAACAGGAGAATATTCAGGTCTTTTCTTGATGTGCAGGGAATCCTTCTGACATTTGGACCTTACATGGAACATTTTCCATGGTCCCTCTGGGTGAGCACACGTCTCCTAGAATCATGTCTTATTTAACAATAATGATCATAGTGCTGCTAAACAATTATGTCTGTGGTTGCATTTATTATGGAGTCTTGTATGATCTTAAAATATACATGAGAAACCCCTTATTAGAAGGGAGCCATTAAGGTTGCATTTTACCATATGGAATCAATTCCTTTTGGTAATAACTATCTCAGTGAGATCTTTGGAATGGTGGGAAGAACACTGGATGTGGAGGCAGAATACTTCACTATCTGTGGGCAAATCACTTACTATCTCTGGGCCTCAGTTTCCTCATCTGTAAAAGAGGGAGTTGAATTAGGTGACCTCTACATGGCAACTGGTCCTATCACTTCTAGGGAAATAGAGGGAGAAGAAATGGAAACAGTGTTACATTTTAGATTCTTGGGTTCAAAAATCGTTGCAGATGGTAACTGCAGCCATGAAATTAAAAAGTTCCTCGGAAGGAAAGCAATGGCAAATCTGGACAGCATATTAAAAAGCAGAGACACCACCTTGCTGACAAAGGTCCTTATGGTCAAAGCTGTGATTTTTCCAGTAGCAACATAAAGCTGTGAGAGTTGGACTATGAGGAAAGCTGAGCACTGCAGAATCAAAGCTTTCAATTTGTGGTGTTAGAGAAGACTTTTGAGAGTCCCATGGATAGCAAGGAGATCAAGTTAGTCAACACGTAAAGAAATTAATTCAGAGTATTCATTCGAAGGACAAATACTTAAGTTAAAACTTTAATTCTCTGGCCACAGAATAAGAATACAGGACACATTGGAAAGGACCCTAATGTTGGGAAAGATTAAAGGTAAAAAGAAAAGGGGCTGGTAGAGGATGAGATGGATAGATAGTATAATAGAAACAACAAACATGAACTTAGACAGACTTTGAGAGGTAGTGGAGGATAGAAGGGCCTGGTGTGCCATGGTCCATGGAGGTCACAAAGAGTAGGATACAATTGAATGACTGATCAACAACAAAAGTCTATTCTAACTCAAAATCTGTGATCCTATGATCTCTCAGTCACTCAGGTGACTTCCAAGAGGTGACCTCCTGGATAAAATTGTGAAAGCCTGATTATCTTCCTCTCATATTTTCATTTAGGCTATCCTAAGTGCACCATATGCATAGATCACTCTCATAAAGATTTTATAAAGATGAAAAAGTATGCATATGGGGCCACAGTTATTGACCTCTTGTTTGATCTCCATTTTTTGGTATTAATTATTGGGAAAGTGCTTGGCCAACTTCAAAGCACCATATAAATTATTATTAAATTTGAAATGAGAGTATGATCTGGATGATCTCAAAGGTCTTTTCTAGTTTTAACCATCTTTTATTAGGATGAACCCTTAATCGTGGGGGAAATACAGAAGCTTAAACACTGTCTGCCTGCTAGTTGGGAAGAATAATGCATACAAAGCAATCAGAGACCATGTCTGTACAGTCTAGAAGTATAGTAGGTGTCCAGACAAGACAGAGATTAATGTAGGCTAAAGAAATCAGACAGGATTTTTCTCTATGTCTTTGAACCAGTTGTCTCTTATACCTGGAAAACATTCCCTCCTTACCTTTCCCTTAGAATCTCTAGTTTCCTTCAAAACTTCACTCACACACCACCATCTGTAGAATCCCATCTTGATGCCTCTAGGTGACAGTGTTCTCATCATCCCCAATTACCATGTGGGGTGCATGTGTGTGTGTGTGTATGTAAATCTTGTATTCTCCATTCTTTACCCCCATGTAAGATCCTCAAGGGCAGATACTGAAGTGGCCTGCCATTTCCTTCTCCAGCTCATTTTACAGATGAGGAAACTGAAGCAAACAGGGTCAAGTGACTTGCCCAGGGTCACACAGCTAGTAAGTGTCTGAGGCCAGATTTGAACTCAGGTCTTCCTAACTCTAAGCCTGGCATTCTATCCACTGAGCTACCTAACTGCCCTTAGGACTGTATGTATGGCTTGTTTTATTGCCAGATTTCTTTCCCATAAGTCATGTTAAATTCTTGATAGATTTCTTATGGTATTATAACCTACGCTTACGAGTTTCCATGGTGGAAGATTGTGATCATATTACAATATAGACATTCCCAAAGCATGGTATAGTAATCCATCCGTGGGACAGAAATCGGATTCAATGGCAAATGCTACAGACTCTGAAATGACAAATACATCTCTATTGTCCCCCTCAGCCCTATCACTGCAAAGAGTTGGGTCCTCTTGAGGGTTGCCAGAGTACTATCCATGGTACTCTTAAAGCCTGAGGAACTGGGGACAGCATGTTTGGGGTTGTCTATGCTGAGGATGAGCTGTGCTAGAGTCTTTTACTGTGTGGGCAAGAGGTCAAGATTGTAGTTCAAACAAAGATCAAAACCAAAACAGATGAGTCTGCCTAAAACTGAAAAAGCCAGAGGCAAGAGGCAATTATAAATGGAGCAGGAATTATCCCAGCAGGGTCTGAGAGGAGGCTAATGCGATGGAACAGAAAGAGTTCTGCCACTTAGTATGTGTGTGACCTTGGGCATCTACTTTTAACCACACTAGGCTTCAGTTTCTATATCTGTAAAATGAGGAGATTGCTTTTAAAGACTGAAGAATTCCAATTAGTTCAATTACCAATTGTGACTCCAAAGGACTAATGATGAAATATGTTACCCACCATCGGACAGAGAGGTGAAGGACTCAGGGTAAAGAATGAAACATACATCTTTGCAAACGGCAAAATGTGAATTTATTTTGCTTTACTATATTTGTTATAAGGATTTTTTTTTCTTTTTATGTTTGAAGAAGAGGTAGATAAAGGAGGGAGAGAGGAAAGCTAGCATTGCAACCCCCTCAAAAAAGAAGACAAAAGAAAAGAGGGTCATTGAAGCATTTTTAAAATGCACCAAAGAGAATGGAAGGAAACACAGATAAGCAAGACAGTTTTGAAATGAAATACTGAATTTCTCCTGAACTGTTCTGATTCCCTTCAGGATCAAATAGAAAATGCTCTGTCTGACATTCAAAGCCCTTCATATCCTAGGCCCCTCCTACCTTTCTGGTCTTCTTTCACCTTATTCCTCAAGACATACTCTTTGATCCAGAGACTCTGGCCTCCTGGCTGTTCCACAAACAAGACACTCCATCTCTTGGCTCTGGGCATTCTCTCTGGCTGCCCCTCATGCCTGTAAGACTCTCCCTAATCTGCTCTGACTACTGATCTCCCTGGCTTCCTTCAAGTCCCAACAAAAATCTTCTACAGGAAGCCTCCCCCACCTCCTCTTAATTCTAGTGCCTTCCCTTTGTTAATGATCTCCTATTTATCCTGTACATAGCTTGTTTTGTATACATTTGTTTGCATGTTGTTTCCCTCATTAGATTTTGAGTTCATTGATGGCAGGGGCTGCTTTTGCCTCTTTTTGTAATTCCAGTGCTTACACAGTGCCTGGCACATAGTAGGTGATTAATAACTTTATTAATTGATTGACAGATGCGTCTTGACTTGACTTATGGATAGAAGCAAAAAGACAAAAGTAAGAATTCCCAGTCAAATTAGTGTATCTCTATAGTGACAACATGAAACTATAATTTTCTTTTTCTAATTAGAATGCTATAATTTCCTCTCTCAGCTTTAATTCTTTGACCTTTGAAGCTAGTGTTTGGTTGTTCCTTAATTTGTTTTGAAGGGACCCTTAATAACTGTCACACACATAATTGTACACAAATTTGCATCTGATTGAACCTTGGTGTTACAAAAATCTCAGCTATATCAGAATATGGCTTTTCAAGATGCACTGAAATGAATTTCTACAAGACTTCTAAACACAGAGAAAAGCCAATTTCACCACAACCTGATGTGGTCAAAATAATAGATAAAAAGATATCAAGTATGTTATTTTTTTCTCCAAGGCAGGGACACAGATTTATGCTTTATTCCCACCCCCACCCCTAGCAGAGTTCTGCTTATCACAGGTACATACTAAATGATAGTCTAATGAATATTGAGAAAGGTGATTTTGGCTGTGGAATGTTTTTTATTTTTTATTATTTATATATTTATACTGAAAAGAAGTCTGGAGTTGTCATCTTTTTAGACATATGACCCATCATATGGCAGATTTAAGTACACTCAGGTTCCCAGTTACTGCTGTAAATCAAAACTTAGGGTTATAGCCAATGATGACAACAATGATGATGATGATGGTAATAGAATAAACAACAACAACAATAATAGCTAACATTTATATAGCGCTTATTATGTGCCAGGCAGGACGCAGAGCTGAAAGGGGTCATCTACCCTCCTCATTTTACTAATAAGGAGACTGAGTCCCAGAGAGGCTAAGTAACCCCTCCCTAGGTTACAGAGTTGATAAGCAGAAGAGTCATGATTTGAAGCTAGGACTTTGACTGCAAATCCATTTCTGTTTCCACTATACCATGCTGCTGTTGTCTCTAAAAACTGGTAAAAGAGGAGATTGCAATAATCATTTGAGCATCTGTAACCACTACATCTGTCTGAATTGCTTTGAGAATCCCAAGACTTTAGGATTCTAACAATGATCAATTAAGGCAGTCATTGCTTTTTTTCAAAATTTCCTGAGGTGTTATCAGATGCCCAAAGACTTTAGCTCTGCGACCATCCAGTCCCATAACATCTGGATGACAATCCTAGAGACTTGGCGAGAAGGGGGAGGATAGTCAGACATCAGCCTGGATGTCTTTCTTACACAATGTCTTATCCTTTTTAGATACATACCTCTAAATGGCAGATACATGAGGACCAGGTCATGACAGGTTTCCTTGTTTCAAATTCCAGGGCTGAACTGTGAGTCAATGGTAACTCTTGCTCAGCTGATTGTGAATCTCCATAGCAACAAGAATGTTTGTCCTGAGACAGGGGGCCCTCTTGGGCAGTGAATGATGATGATGACACTGAATGCTTTCAGAAAGCTGTGAACTGGCAGATACAACCTTCCTTATAAAAAGCTGCTGGTCTTTGCTATGCTGAAGATAAAGAATAAAGATAAAATGTTTGTTCCAAGCACCCACAAAATGGAAGTTCTCCTTGTCAAAGGTCTTACTAGCTAGATACTGACTTGCCAAAATGCTTCTGAGAATTAGCATGTCTTATGACAATCCCCTAATCAAATTTTGGGGCTATGCTTAGGGGATTGCTCATATGTTCCTGTTAGTGGTAGCTTGGACTCTCTGAGGTCCTTGAATTCCACATTGAGTACTATAACACAAATTTCCTGCCTACCAGGAGAAAATCTGATGCCTTACATAGTGGTTGAAGTCTTATTTGTATCTCTCCCTGGTAAAACACAGAGTTTTACATATAGTAGATATTTCATGAATTGTTATTGAATGAATATTGGGAAAGACATACTACAAATAAAGTGGGGTACTTCTCTTGCTTAGATGGGATGAAGCTTCCCTTGTGGAGACTAAACCCCATGGGAACAGCTAGCTTCTCAATGTCCCTTTACCAGTGTCAAACGGTATTGTGTTTGTCTTCACATAAGAAGTCCATCAGATTGCTCTTACTACATCTTGAACTGAATAAATAGCTTAAGGCAGAGACAGTAATTTGAAACTTCTGGCCAATAATCTTTATTCCTTTATCCCTTAAGCTTTATTTGAAATCTCCATTTTACTGGAATCTGCTTATTTTCCACCTAAATGGAAATTTCCCATGATTGGACTTTTTTTGTTTTTCTGTTTTCACACTGACCTGAATTAATGATGGGTGGTTAACTAGCAATAGCTCTCGTCCATTCATTAAAGAGGAAAATTTTGTCCTTGGTGTCTCTTTCTTCACTTATTTCCTCTTCCCCTTCTACATTATGGTACATTGAGAACAAGTATCTATTCTATTCACTTATTTGGCTAGCCATAATGGCAGCTTTAACTCAGAATTTCCATATCCAAGGTATTCCTCTTTTATCTTTCTTAAAAACATGTTAATTGATATAAAGTGAAAAATGAAGACCTAGCCTCACATTTAATTACCAATTTGTCATGATGATGATGATGATGATGATGATGATGATGATGATGATGGTGATGATGATGATGATACAGCTTCTAGTAAGATCTAAAGGAAAGAACACTGAACTCAATGTTAGGACCTGAGCTCCTATCTTGGCTCCAATATTTGTATAGCACCTAGGACCTCTGTCATATATAATATCACAGAAAGTTACTCTGAATTCAAGCTACTTTCTGAGTCAACTTATACTCAGAATCATAGCTTATGACCTCCCAATGATATGTCCACTTTTATAAGGCCAGAGGGCATATTAACTCAAAGCTAAAATCATTTGGTAAAAGGCAACAAATTGATATGAAAAGATCCTATTCATGTACAATTGAGATACATTCTTCCACAGGTTACTACACCACCAGTGGGAGAGGGTATATATGCAGAAAACATTAATGACAGTGAAATACATGGATCACATCACATACACATAGGGTACAAAATATGGAACACATGTAGGCAGGTAATAGGTATGAAGAGCCATACGTATATTACGAAAATATGTGTCTGGGACAACTTATGATATCTCTTAACACTGTTGAGCTACTGACATCTTATGCTTTTCTCTGTTTTCTGCCAGGTATTACATCATCTCTGTTCTCCATCATGTCATGTCTGCTGGGTTTCTTTACTGGTGGCCTGGTTACTGAGCTGCTGTCTACTATCATATTCTGTTCTTCAACTGTTCAGTCTTTTCAAGATGATCTGCTGTGGTGTAGTGGCTAGTAAGCCTCTCTCTGGCAACAGAGGGCTAAAGCTATTTTAGTGCAAAGTTGAGGGCTAGAAGCCACAAACACTCAAGAAGGCAGCCAGTAGAAGCCTCAGGTTATTTTTATCATTGATCTTTTTTTCTGATGCCAACTTAATTTTCTTGACTCTAGCCAACTATGTTGCTTAGGGCTAGAAAATTCCTTTTAATTTTTGTCAGATGCCTGATTATTAGTCCATGTCCACAAAACTGATTTTAAATATTCCACCCAACAAAATCCCACAAGAACTGTGTGAGGGCTGGAGTGATGAGACTTTTTTCAACTCCCATAGTCTTTCCTGATTGACATGCAAGTAAATTTAAGAGCATGAACAAAAGAGCTAGAAGACGTCATCTGGGCCTTACTCTTGTCTTTGTTCTACATTCCTTCCTTTTTTATATATACTTACCAGCAGCAAAATTGCTAGTTATGGTTTAATATTCTGACCATCACAAATGTTCATGTCTCTCCAGATATGTAACTGTAGATGAGTCATTTAACCTCTTTTGAAGCTTATTTTCCTAATCTGTAAAATAGGCACAATTCAATTTAAAAAAGCACCCAAATAAAGTACCTAATATGTTTAAGGCACTAAAGATGCTTGCATGTTACCTCATAAGATGAGGAAAAGGAGGAAAGAACTATGATACTGCTACATAAATAAGAGCTATCTTTTTTAAATCAAAGAATGATTACTGATATATTTCTAATAATTAATGAGTCATGACCTTCTCTTGCCTAAAAACTGCTATGGAGATAAATTGGGTATTTTTGGAAGGTGCTTTCAATATATCATTGAGAGCCTATTATCTTTACTAAGTTTAAGAAGATTTTTTTTAAGAATAAAAATTCATTAGAATCTATGGGCTTTTTGTGTGGATGGGAGGCTAGGACATTCATTCATTAAAATTTTCCTGGTGCCATTACTTTCATTGCAAGTATTTTCCCTCTTCCAGCAGCTTCTAAAAATAATGGTTTTTTTGTTTGTTTTTTTAAAGCCATTGTCTCCAGGACCTTTCCTCATTTTATTCTTTGTGTATTCACAAAATCCTTTTTGGGACTGTAGAATTTTTGAGACTTTCTGGAGTGTGGAGATGTTTAGGGAAGATTAGTACCTCCAGTGTAAGGTCTGCTTTCCACTTTTGGTGTCCACTTGATCGACCCAACTCTCATCTGTGGCTCCAAGAAACTATAGCATGTACAGTGGTCCTACCCTGGCAAACCATTTTGGCAGATGTGCTAAACCAGGTTGAGGGTAACTGATGGGCCTCAAATCTGTTGGTGAATTAGGGGGGTATACTCTAAGCATGTGAAGACTCCCCCAGGTGGAATGGGCAGATGAGAACAATTTGTTACAATGGGCATGAAGGTGGCTGCAATAGGTGCTGTGAAGTGCTTACAGCCTGGTTAGACATAGAAGACACCAAGATAATCCACTGCATCCTGGGCCATTGCCAATAGTCTTTTTAAAAAATTAATTTGTTTATTTTTAGTTTTCAACATTCACTTCCTCAAGATTTTGAGTTCCAAATTTTCTCCCCATCTCGTCCTTCCCCCTACCCCAAAACAGCGTGCATTCTGAATACCCCATTCCTCTGGTCTCCCCTCCCTTCTATCTCCAGCCCCCCTTCTCTTATCTCTTTCCCCTTCTATTTTCCTGTAGGGCAGGATAGATTTCTATACCCCATTGCCTATATATCTTATTTCCCAGTTGCATTTCTGAATACAATTTTCAACATTTGTTTTTAAAACTTTGGGTTCCAAATTTTCTTCCTTTCCCTCTCCTTACCCACCCTCATTGAGAAGGCAAGCCACTCAATACAGGCTATACATGTGTAGTCATGCAAAACACGTCCATAGTAGTCATGTTGTGAAAAACTAACTATATTTCCCTTTATCCTGTCTTGCTCCCCATTTATTCTATTCTCTCTTTTGACCCTGTCCCTCCTCAGAAGTGTCTGCTTCTGATTACCTCTCCCCCAAATCTGCACTCCCATCTATCATCCCTCCACTCTCTTATCCTCTTCCCCCCATTTTCCTGTAGGGTAAGATAGACTTCCATACCCAATTGAGTGTGCATGTTATTCCCTCCTTAAGTCAAATCTGATGAGAATAAGATTCACTCATTCCCTCTCACCTTCCCCCACTTTCTCTCCACTGTAAAAGCTTTTTCTTGTCTGTTTTATGTGAGATGATTTACCCCATTCTACCTCTCCCTTTCTCCTTCTCCCAGTGTAATCCTTTCTCATCCCTTGATTTTATTTTTTATATATCACCCCTTCATCTTCCACTCATCCTGTGGATCTATCTATCTATCTATGTATAATTTTTTTCCCTCCAACTACCCCAATACTTACAAAGGTCTCATGACTTACAAATATCATCTTTCCATGTAGGAATTTAAACAGTTCAACTTTAATAAGTTTCTGATGATTTTACTTTCCTGTTTAGCTTTTCATGCTTCTCTTGACTCTTGTATTTGAAAGTCAAATTTTCTATTCAGCTCTGGTCTTTTCACCAAGAATGCTTGAAAGTCCTCTATTTCACTGAATGTCAATTTTTCCCCCTGAAGGATTATACTTAGTTTTGCTGAGTAGGTGATTCTTGGGTGTAATCCCATCTCCTTTGACCTCCAGAATATCATATTCCAAGCCTCCAATCCCTTAATGTAGAAGCTGCTAAATCTTGTGTTATCCTGATTGTTTCCACAATACTTGAATGGTTTCTTTCTGGCTGCTTGCAGTATTTTTTCCCTGTCCTGGGGACTCTGGAATTTGGCTATAATATTCCAAGGGGTTTTCCTTTGGGGATTTCTTTCAGGAGGTGATTGGTGGATTCTTTCCATTTCTATTTTACCCTGTGGTTCTAGAATATCAGGACGGTTTTCCTTAATAATTTCTTGAAAGATGATGTCTAGGTTTTTTTTGTGTGTGTGTGTCATGGCTTTCAGATAGTCCGATAGTGTCAAAATTATCTTTCCTGGATCTATTTTCCAGGTCAGTTGTTTTTCCAATGAGACATT